ACACATTAAAATCGCTAAGTCTCTCTCTACTCATGACGCCAATACTACATAATAATAATCACTCTTGGGCACACTAAATGTCTTATTTTACATCAATATAGGCATTTTCATTAATCCACCTATGATATTTTCCTCAAAATTATATATGAAACCCATTACATAACATATAAACATGATACATACACTCAAGAATAAAAATTGATGTAAATATGAGATTTGTTTACAAAGCAGCTGTGTAGGTAGTGTCTGAAGAATTACATTTTCTCTAGTCAAACTGGGGGATAACTGTAGAAAAATATTCTTTTCGTATGCCTTTACTCTATGTGTAACAATTCACGACCCTTGTTGGTTTAGTGCTTTTTATAATTAATAATAATAATAATAATAATAATAATAATAATAATAATAATAATAATATTATTACTATTATTATTATTGGGCCACCCTGCCTTGGTGGGAATCGGCCAGTGTGATTAAAAAAAAAATTATAATAATAATAATAATAATAATAATAATAATAATAATAATATTATCTTCATTCACTCTAAAAATGGTGTGTTGCTGTTTGTTTATTCTGAACTAACTTTTACAACTTGTACACAATGTAAGAGTATTTGTATTGTGAGGTAATTATTATTATAATAAAAAAATATTGAGGTAAATGTTTTACAAACTCTTACAAACGGACGTGAATGAACTAAAAGTAGACATATTAATACGCATTTATTTCGCCTGACCAAGTGATCGTCCACTACCTGTTCACCTTGTGTTCTTACATTGTCTCGACTCTTGTTTCTCGTTCTCTCTCTCTCTCGTTTACTCTTTCGTTAACTAGTTGGCTCTCATTGGCGATGGCGTCTAAGGTTAGCTGTGATAAAAAGAGGTCGTAAGCCTCTTGCTTTAAGTGCCAAGTTAGAGGATGATGGTGTGCCATTCTGATTTTATTCAATAAACACCCTGCCACTCACACATTATTAATATTAATATTTTAAGGTAAGTAATAAGTGTACTCTGTGTGTATCTTACCTTTTATTGTGTTTTTAATGCCTATTTCTATTGCTAACTTAATGTAAGTTAGTGTAAACTTGTTGTCTCGCATTTATTGCATATTTTATGTGTGCTCTGATAATAATACTTGTGGAGCTGTGTGGTAGCCGGGTGGAGAGACAACATTACGTTTTCTCTGCTCAGCCATCAGAGAAAACGTGTTTGAATCTGCGTTTGGCCCAGCCACTCCCTCACTCCGCTTTTGTTTACAATTTTCGGCATGAATTATTCATTACTTCTACCTTCATTTATGATGGCATCTAAAGGTAGTTGTTAGAAATGATTAAATTCAGTGAACAAGGCATGTCGATGTTAATATGGCTCTGGGCCACAGTGTAGGCAGCCGGTAGGTGTAGCCCAGGCAGGCTACGCCTACCGGCTACCTACACTGACTCTACAAATAAGTACAGTGGACCCCCGCTTAACGATCACTTCCCAATGCAACCAATTATGTAAGTGTATTTATGTAAGTGCGTTTGTACGTGTATGTTTGGGGGTCTGAAATGGACTAATCTACTTCACAATATTCCTTATGGGAACAAATTCGGTCAGTACTGGCAACTGAACATACTTCTGGAATGAAAAAATATCGTTAACCGGGGGTCCACTGTACTACTCACCTCTTCCTATATTAAGATTACACATATTTTAAGGTAAATAATGAGTGTACTGTATGTGTATTTTACCTCTCTGGGATGTTTTAAATATCGTATATTAAGTATGAGACGGGGAGCCAGTGCTGCATACACCTGGGCTACCTGCACCTGACTTCCTACAAATAAGTACTACTACTCACCTTTCTCCGTACATTAAGATTACAAATACTTTAAGATAAGTAATGAATTTACTGTGACTATTTTACTTCGTGTGTTTTTAATGCCTAGTTCTATTACTAACCTAATATAATTTAGTGTAAACTTGTTGTCTGGAATTTATATGCATTTATAAATGGAAAAAATGGCGTTCTGCCTTCCGGCGATGTCTGCTTTCCGGCGACAGCCTGGAACCTAACCCGCAGTATAAGTGGGGCCCTACTGTACTACTACTAATAAATTATTATAATAACGAACGCCTCCAACTTGGTTCACTGTTTACCTCACTCCTTTGCTTACATTTTTGACAGTCATTTGGCCAAATTTTGTGTTCTGCTTAAGATAGGTCCTGAATTAAGATGAAGTGTAAAGGAGCGAGTGCCATTGGTTGAAGGGAAAAGAAAGTGATTTCATGGGGGAATTGACAGCATGAAGGGAGATAAAGGAAGGGGGTGTCAGGTTTGGGTTGGAAGGGGGGAAGGGGGGAAGGGGGGAAAGGGGGGGGGAGCTGGCTCGTAACTCGGAGCAAAAACTTGACCCAGGGACTGTTCGTTTCTCAAAAAATTTGTACGTTGGGACACACTTAAGTCAAGGGTCCACTGTATAACATAGTAATTGTGCTACAGTTAAAAAAAAAAATATTACCCTTGGAGGATTAACCATAAACCCAAGAATATGCCAAGCAATGTGGTTTATTTCCACTGGGGTCATGTTAAGCTACAGTACACCCCTAAGAATGTGACCCACAAATCTTTCTTCCAGGTATTTGCTTATTATGTAATAAGAGCTCCAATTACTTTGATCAAGAGCCCTTCAACAGCAGGGCACCACTTGTATACCATACATGTGACCTTTAACTCATTAACTGTTCAAACAGTTCTACGTTCCCTCGCATAACGCTCCGAACACAGATCTATTTTTTTTACACGCTTTCTTGTGGAGAAAATCAAGATCGGAGCGCTACACGCAAAAACGTAGAGCTGCATTTGGATAGTTAACGGGTTAAGAGTTTAGGAATTTTACAGATATGATTCAAGGGCACCTGTTAGGTGAAAGCAAGCAAATGAGTGTAGCTACTCCCATCTGCACTCTGGCCCAGGCCCAAATTCATAGAACTCAGTGTTCATCAAGAAATCCCAATTGTATGCTTTATGTATGCTATGGTGAGGGAGCCTGGACACAGGTTTTCTCACATTTGCTGAAAACTAACTGATATTACTCCACTCCAAAAGGTGACAAAAATTCTAATTTCTCAGGAAAATATTTAAAAGGGTTCTAAGAAGAAAGATCATCAACCACACGGATTTCCAAAATTTGCACAGCCCAGGGCAGCATGGGTTCTAAGCAGGTCGCTCCTGCCCCTCACAACAACTAGACCATGACAACATGGTTTTGGATGCACTCGAGAGCAAAGAATGCAGATGTAGCATACACGAACCTTGCAAAAGCCTTGGACAAGTGTGATCATGGTGTAATAGTCCACAAAATGTGTGCTAAAGGAATAACTAGAAAACTGGGTAGATGAATCTAACTATCCAAGAGAAGACAGTAATAGTAAACAATAGTTAGAGGCTGCCACAGTCAAAAGTTTTGTTCCACAAGGCACAGTACTGTGCTCTCATCCTTTTCCTTATCCTCATATTTGACAGATGTAAACCATTTCATTGTCTTCCTTTGCAGGCTCCACTAGAATATGCACAAGTACCATCCACTGAGTATGCTAAACCTTCAGGCAGATATAAATCAAGTCTTCCAATGGGTCACAGAAAATGCAATGTTCAATGAGAAATTCCAGCTATTTCATTATGTTAACTTAATTCTTACAGCTAGAATGGGGTATCAAACTAATTCTAACAATTCTCTAAATAACTTGTTCTTCCTAGGCTGGAATACTGCTGTACACTAACATCCCCTTCCAAAAAGCTGGCAAAACTGCAGCTTTGGAGAATGTATGGAGGACCTTCACTAGACAAGTTCCATAAAGTACTTAAATTACTGGAAACAAAGACCTTATACCTGTACACCTTGGAACACAGGCAAGAATGGTATATAAAAATTTACACCTGGAAAATCCTAGAGGGACTGTTCTCAAATCTGCATACAGAAATCACTCCCCATGAAAGCAAGACAGACTCGGCAAATGGTGCAACAGTCCCCCAATGAAAAACTAAAATCATGGGTGCTGTAAGTACACAGAAAACACAAGGGTCAGGTACCGAGGCTGTTTATACAGCATCCCATCATACATAGGGAAGATTACCAGACCCCTTATTTGTCTTCAAGAGGGAACTGGACAGACACCTAAGGGTAGTGTCTGGCTAGCTGGGCTGCTGTTCATGCACTGGATTGTGGAGGCCAACAGTAACAGCCTGGTTGATCTGGCCCTGATCCACAAAGAGGCCTGGTCATGGACCTCCGGAACTCCCTCCAGGTACATCAGGCAAGTGTCAAGGAAAAGCAATCATGTTATGGCATGTATGATAATCAATGTAACTATGTATACCAGAATAAACTTACTAACGTTCAGCCACAGCCAGCGTATCCGCTTGCCACCACCCCCCCCATCCTCACCCAGGGTAAAAGTTCCATATGCCTCAGGGGATACCACCAGATCATATTAAACTCATTTTGCGTCATTCATATATTGCCGTGTATGAGAGGCATTACAGCACACATGTAATCATAATGTAATAACTGACACGAGGATGACATTTATGACAACCCAAAGATATCGCTACAAATCAGCAAAAGAAAAAGAACTTCCATTTGGCTAAATACGTACAATATGAATGCATTCTGTACTTCCATGTGCTTTTAATACTTTTATGTGACGTACAAACTGAAGAAACAAACTCCAAGTAAAGAAGTTGAAAAATGATCTCCTTGGCTACGAAGATCAACTTAATGTTTCATCGCAAGAATATACAGCTACTAATACTTAAACAGAAATGTATAACAATGGGATAAACCATTATATATAATATCCCACAAGTAAATCACAATTAAGAAAAACTATCTCCCGGCTACTCATTGCGTAAACCTTTAAAACCCCAGCTGATCAACAAACCGGCGATTTTAAGTCATTTAAACCAACATTTATCCCTTCCCCCATCCACCCCGACTCTATATAACATCTTGTACCTGTGGAATGCTCAACAGTCTGGCCGCTGCGCTCCTGAAGACAGCCATGGTATGATGGTGGTGGAGATGAGGGTGAATATAGTGAGTAGTGAGGTAGATGAGCCAGCGCCTGCCAGGCTACTCTCTCCTCCCTGCCTCCTCAACACCACTTTACTCTCACATCTACCTCAGACTCACTCCTCGCCACACTCCACATGATGTCTACTTGGCATCTCACGCCTCACAATATTAATGATGTCTGTCACTAGATGGCGCTTAACTATCATAACCTTGGATAAATAAGTATTTAGTTATAGGTACACATAAATACAGTTACACAAATTATTATACATAGTAACGTATGTGTAAATTACCTAGGATAACCCAAAAAGTTACAACAAAGTGATTTATTTCCGACAATACAATGTTTGTACAGAGATAAGTGACATTTGGTTGCGCATACTGACACCCCCATAGTTAAACAGACCATGTCATGTCTTAATAATAATAATAATAATAATAATAATAATAATAATAATAATGCCGAATTTACCGGACTTACCTAATTCAGCAGAGATGTTTTGCTTAGCAAGAGGGCCTACATTAATTTTTTTCTTAAGCTCCGTGAATTATTATTATTATAATCAAGGGGGAAGCGCTAAACCCGGAGGATTATACAGCGCCTGGGGGGGGGATGTGGAAGGCATTCAGGCTTAATTCGGGGAACTGGAGCACAGATCCAATTCCCTAAATCAAGAGCCCCTCACCAACATCAAGGAACCTTCCTTGAGGGGTAAGCTCCGTGAAAATTAATGGTAACTATGTACATCCCGTCAATATGTGAATTTGGTTATAATTTATTCCTAAAAATGTCTGATATTAGCTTCGTTCTGATATGGGCATTGTTTTATGTTACGCATATGTAAGAAACGTAGCCTAAGCTGACGAAACCCACCCGAAAATAACGTAACGTAACTCTTAACCTTACTTCCCCAGCAGTAGATGGGAGGACTAGCGCCGTTAGGTTTACATGCTATTCACCCTGGTTTACGTTGACTATGATTGGCCAGGAGCATCAATACTAATAGTCGATTTGCCCTGACGTGTTCCACATTCCAAAATAAATGTATTATTTTTGCCAATATCTCCCAAAATAAAAATTTACATATATACATACGGTGATGCCACAGAGAGGTCCTGATAGTGAATAATACGTTCTCTAAAGCAAAGTACGCATCACCGAGGTGATTTGTCAGGTGGACACATCAGTGTTTCGGTATGTACTGTTTGCAAGACATAAAATAAATAAATAAATGTGTGGGGGTTCGCTGTCTCTTCCACCTGCCAGGGTTGGTCTTGGGTTTGATAGATCTGGCGATTAAGTCAGGGGTGTGATTCCCCAACTTGATTTATTTTGTCCGAGTTTTGTGGAACAGCAACCTTCGCGTATTCTGGACGTATAAGAGGCCATGCGCTTGCTTATTTCAAATCTTACATTACTAATAGGTATCAGTACGTCACCATTAGAGACACAGCATCAGCAACACGGCCACTTGATACTGGAGTTCCTCAGGGAAGTGTCCTTGGTCCCCTGCTCTTCCTCATATACATCAATGACCTTCCAAACGTATCCCAACACCTGAAACCCATTCTCTTTGCTGATGACACGACTTATGTCATCTCTCACCCTAATCTTGCCACCCTCAACACCATTGTGAATGAGGAGCTGATTAAAATATCGACTTGGATGACAGCCAATAAACTTATGCTTAACACTGACAAAACCTACTATATTATGTTTGGTAGCAGAGCAGGAGATGCACAAATTAACATTAAGATTGACAACACTCTAATTACCAGAAATAATGGGGGAAAATTCCTAGGCTTATACCTTGACAACAACCTGAATTTCAGCACCCATATCCAGCATATAGCCAAAAAAGTATCCAAAACGGTTGGGATCCTCTCCAAGATACGATACTACGTGCCGCAAAATGCCCTTCTCACACTATACCACTCACTTATTTATCCATACCTCACCTATGCTATTTGTGCTTGGGGATCAACTGCAGCAACACACCTAAAGCCAATAATAACCCAACAAAAAGCTGCAGTAAGATAATCACTAAATCCCATCCCTGGCAAACACCCCCCCACTCTTCATAGATCTAAACTTACTCCCAGTTCAGTACATCCACACTTACTACTGTGCAATCTACATCTACAGGGCCTTAAACTCTAATATCAACCTTGACCTAAAACGCTTTCTTGATAGTTGTGACAGAACCCACAGGCATAACACCAGACATAAACATCTCTACGACATTCCCCGTGTCCGACTAAACCTTTACAAAAATTCAATGTATGTCAAAGGCCCTAAAATCTGGAATACCCTACCTGAGAACTCTAGAACTGCAGACACATTCATCACCTTCAAAACTACCATTAGAAAACATCTTATCTCCCTGATACACCCCGCAACTAACTACACGAATACCACCTGGTGGTTCACACTTACACTCACTCACTCATTTGACCATAAACAGAAATATTAATCTCAGTCTTAAAATAATGAATCCTGTGATACTCCAATACTGAAACTATGTACTGTGCCAAAACAAAAGCATTCACATTGCTAAACTCACAAACTAGTATTTAGTCACTTAGCCATAATACCAACTTACCTCATAATTTGTAATATTTTACAATTAAGAATAAAACTAAGTATGCCCGAAATGCCTAGCCATGCTAAGCGTTCTAGTGGTACACTCTGTAATCACAATTTTACTACATGTAAACCAAACAATAACCAAATTTCTGTAAACTCAGCATTGTAATCCTTATAGAGAATAAACTTTGAATTATGCAGGCTGTTGACATTAGTAAAACCCTTCGAGTCTTCATATCCCGATGCTTTGTACACAGTCATATACTAGCGATACATACGAGAAGTTGCAGCTTAGTCGTGCAGCATGAGCGGTGCCCCTCATACTCATGCTCCGAGTAATAGAGCAAAAACAAATACAAAGGTTCACACTTGGTCTTTTATCAGTTCCTATTGGGCTTCGTTACAACAATTATAAAGAATCAGTAGTTTTATGCAAGCTTCCTTTGCCACTGTTCCCGTGGTTGGTAATCTGAACAAGTTTCAGATTTATTTAAGCTCCACTACAGGATGTGAAGGTAGTTTACCAACATGTACACAAGGTCTTGCCTTCTCGCTGTGTGCTGGTGTACAGACATACTAAACAACACCTGCTACGAGGTGTGGCACCAGCCGGAGACCTCACTCTGCACAGATGTATTTCCCCCCGTCTTATGGTTTGGGGCAGTTATGTGCCATTCGTGGGATTCTACTGTATAAAGTAATTTTGTGTGTGTGTGTGTGTGACCTAATTCAGGTCTGCATGAATAAGTCATTACGATTGTAACCAGATGTAAACATGTAAATAATTCATTACCACTCACTTGTTTAATTATCAGAACTTTTCGGCCCAGTCCCTGGACCCCATTGTGATATTTTGACTACCGCCCACGGGATGGGTATGGGATACATAATGAAATAATAATAATAATAGATTATTTAGACATGATACATAGTTGTGCAAGGAATTATAGTAGTTGGGTGTACATGCCAAGAGCCCTTTGTATGCAGAGCATTACGGGCAGGCTTAAAATTAATTTAAGATTAACTAAGCTTTGATAGATTCTAATGCCCTGTGTGATCTATTTCTAGACATTTTCTAGATTTTTTTGGGGTTATCCTAGGTACTTTACACATATGCTGCTATGTATGATAATCTATGTAACTGTGTATACCTGAACAAACTTACTTACTAACCGTTACTTACCGTTAACGTGCTATTATTTTTTATTTTTTACTAGCTGCGGTGTGCCAGACGAACAACTGTACAAGCAATGGTAGTAAACGTGGTATCGACGCCGAGTACAAACTAGAGAGCAGTTTCCATAGCTAATCACGGCTCTTCTGGAGAGGACCCGGGAGCTACACACCATCCATGGACACGGAAGGACGGAGCTGTACACAAAGGAATTTCGTGGACTGCCGTGGGCCTGATCGAGTTTGGCTCCACATCTGCCACCGACACAGTAGGCCTCGGAAGCGGTTACTTTGCTGTGTACCTTTGATCATCCTGTACTCAGAATTACAGAGGTCACAGTGGGTCTTTGTCAGATCCCACTGGGCATTATTGCATTACTAGAGAGAGATATCAGCCATAGTGTACACATGTAAGTTTATTTAAGCACAGGTATACATAAATGCAATTATCATACATAGCGTAAATTACCTAGGATAACCCAAAAAAGTCAGTGACTTATATTCATTGGGGTCCTTGATGATGATCTTGAGTCTTGTTCAAGCTGTCCTCCAGATGCTGTTATGGCCTGACACCGACTGCTCTCCCGATGAAGCTGGCTCTTTGTTTTGCTTTCACTTTTAGTATGACACCACTGAAAATAAAAAAGACCCCAATGGAAATAAGTCACTTTGACCTTTTTGGGTTATCCTAGGTTCTCTACACATGCTGCTATGTGTGATAATCTATATAACTGTATATACCTGAATGAACTTACTTGCCTTTTGACTTTTTAAAAAAGAAATCTGGCATAATAATAATGCGTCAATATATTTCTTTAGTAAGTTGCTTGTCTTTCTACACGTAAGGCTGAGTTGCCAATCAAGTCACGTGACCATAAAATGAGCCCATGACATCAATACACTGACTCTATATAATGAAATTACGTAAATATATATATAATACCTTTCGCTGGATTATTCTTTTAATTAAAATATCCTGGGTAAAAATAATTAAAAGCTCTGTCTACATTACCTGAAAGAATTGAAATTTTATCTTTTATTATCCATTTTCATTTTACTCAGCAATATAAGCTTCATTTAGGCTAGATGCAGTTTTTTAACATGCTACCGTTAACGTGCTATTATTTTTTATTTTTTAATTTTGTTCAATGGTTGCGTTAAGCACATTGTTAAAGGCATATATTAGTTATAAATCGTCAAGATTAAACCTAGAAGGATCCCATGAACTCAGATACTACGATTTTGTGCTCTAATATCTAAAAATTATTTTATTTATTGGAAATAAAATAAAACAGGTAATGCATAAGAGAAAATAATAGAGAGTAAAGCTGATTTTGCGCAGGTTGGACGTCGTCTGCTGGGTGGCTGCCGCTGCTGGAGTTGACTCTCTAACATCTGTTTTTTTAAGTTTATTAAGGTATGCGTCAGTGTATTTCTGCGGCTGGAGAGTGTGAAAGAAGTAACTTTGTGTACAGTAACCTTTGGAGAGGTATTGGGAGATTAGCGGTGGATGAATTTAGGTGCTGAAATATGGAGTCCTTGTGAGGTGCATGAAAGGGGAGATCCGTGTGTTATGCTTCCTGTTGTGGTTACGGATTACCCCGGATATTGTCTGTATTTTGTCTACTTTCTCTTGGTATTACACAAGCTGGTGCTGTTAGAATACGGTTTTCACGATAGTCGGAGATCAGGGATTGCAGTTTTGTCTTAAATATTTTGTATTAATGTATTTAGAGAGGACACCGCAAGGGGCCCCGGCAGGAGCATAACATTGTTTGACAGCTGCAGTAAAGGTGCTGCTTCAGCCGCTAATTTTCCTATTTTATTGCTGCTAAAGGACTCCTCGAGGCAAATTAATATATAAAGTTTGTATGACACTATACATGAGATTGTGTTTTTTGGCATCGTTAATATCCGCATTGAGCAGCAGTTTAAAGATGATGAGCTGTGGTGTGTCAGGGAGGGGCCCAGCTGAGTGAAACTCGCTGTTTTAACAGTAATTTGGTCAGATTTATGTATTTTGTTGTATGGAACGTTAATCAGGATGAGTTTTCATAACGCTTTAACACTTTTAGTATAGTATTCGTATTCCTTTTGAGATCTTTTGTTAAATTCTTTTGTTTGAGTGTTAACTTTCCAAGAATATATAATATTACTAGGTAAGGTTCGTCAGGAAATAAGTGTTGCCTGACGCGGGTCTTAGCGACCTTGTACTTTCATGGTACTCTGTAGGAATGGCATCCTGACATGGCTCTTAGGCAAATGACCCAAAGGAATGCCAATAATGAAGAACCGAGGGTACCAGCCTAATGGCTGGGGCTTGGTGATTCTGGCCCAGTAGCTGGAGCACAGGGGATCGCAGTCCTGCAATCCATATGCCACTGGCACTGCGATGGGCATGGCAAGCCGCAGGTGGTGTAACCCTTGTTGTACAAATATGGCATTACCAGGGGTGCCATGAGTATGGTAAGAGAGAACACAGTAAGCATCAGGGGCCCAAGACTGTTTGGCTGCCTCTCATCATACATAAGGGGGATTACCAATAGACCCCTGACTGTCTTCAAGAAGGCATTGGACAAGCATCTAAAGTCAGTACCTGTCCAGCCTGACTGTAGCTTGTACGTTGGTTTGTGTGTGGCCAGCAGTAACAACCTGGTTGATTGGGCTCTGATCCACCATGAGGCCTGGTCATGGACTGGGCTATGGGGGTGTTGACCCCTGAACCTCTTCCAGGTATAGTGGCAGTTTTGTAGGTGGTTTCATTTTGCTGTACATGATGAAGTTCTTGTCAGAACTTTAGCAGAAGGCTCTCATGTGGTGTTTGGAGGAGGCTGATTCACTCCCTGCCAGTGAAGAAGGGATAATACTTGAAACCCAGGAATTATAATTTTGAAAAAAAAAAATGCAAAATGAAGGGAAATGTAATAGTATAAAAGCTTGCATCACCTGTTCTGAGACTTAAAAACTGCAGTAGAGTTAGAACAAGACATGTCCTAGATGATCTACTGTATGAAAAAAAAGTAAAGGAATAAAAAAAAAGAGGAAAAAACCTGGAACTATTGGTTCTCAGGATAGCTGCAGCCTTTGGATAAAAGCAGCAGGAGGTTTCTTCCCTATTCCTCTCAGAGGAGGTTCCTTGATGCTGGTGAGGGGCTCTTGATCTAGGGAATTGGATCTGTGCTCTCGTTCCCTGAATTGAACCTGTATGCCTCCCATGCCCCCCACATGCGCTGTATAATCCTACGGGTTTAGCGCTCCCCCACGATTATAATGATAATTTTTCCCTGCTGGGTTCTGTGTGAGGAAAGTACAATGCGTAGTTGATAAGTAACGTGCAACAGTTGGGTTATCTTTATTGTTGAAATATTTCCCCTTCACAATAGGCTTCTTCAGTCAAATACAGAGGAGACAGCAAAAGCAGTGGAGATTTAAAGATGATGTGAGCAATCTATCAACCTTGAAGTAGTTATATTGTGGTCAGTTCTCAGCCTGGAGAAAAGTTCAACTCCTGCTATCTCTGTAATCGGCCGAAGAAATCTACTGTGTAGGTGAAACATTTCGACAAATAAGGTACCCAACTGTTGTACATATGTTTTACTTGTCTACAATTGTTTAATTTGTATGGAGAGCATTAAAGATCCCCTAAAGATTAGGTATTTCACTATCTGAGCATTTGGGTACTGTATATTTAATATACTACTCTGACGAGAGTATAGTAGCTCGTAGTCAAGAGACATGTAGACAAGCCATCTGTCCTATCTATCCATCCATCCTGTTTATTTCTCCATCCATTCTGTCTGTCTGTCCATCCATCCCGTCCATCCACCCTGTCTGTCCATCCATCCACCCACTCGCCCACCCACCCTTGCATGTACCAACATAGCCCTGCACATTTAAAAAAGCCCTTGATTTAAACACCAAAATATGGAAAGGTGATTTTTATCCAGTTACAGTGGAACCCCAGTTTTTGTCATTAATTCGTTTCAGAAAGTCTAGACGAGAACTGAAGCAATATTTCTCATAAGAAATAATGTAAATCCAATTAATCCGTTCCAGATACCCAAAAGTATTAACTAAAAATACATTTTATAGTTTTACATACAGAAAACTGAAATAAATATAAAGGACTAATGAAATGGATAAATGAGCATTTAATATCACTTTATGTTTATTGAAGACTCTTATTGGCATATGGAAGATGTGAGGAGGGGAGAGGGAGGAGGACTTCAGGTATCAAGTTCCTATCAGGGGTTACTTCTTTTCTTTGTCTTTTACTGGCACTGGACCCCTGTCGCACAAAAAGTCTGTCTAGAGAGGTCTGTTTCTGGTGTCTAAGATTTGCCTAAAATGGAACAAGGCATTGTCATTGAACATGTTGCAAACATGGCTTGCAACAGCTTTGTTAGGGTGATATTGCTCCGCAAAACTTTGCAACTCGCTCCACTCTGCACATGTGTCCGGCTAAACCTATACAAAAATTCAATGTACATAAAAAGGACCTAAAATCTGGAACACCCTACTTGAAAACTCTAGAACTGCAGACACAATTGTCACTTTCAAAACTACCATTAGAAAACATCTCATCTCCCTGACATAGCTCACCATCAGCTAACTACATGAAAACCACCTATTATCTTGTATCATACACACACACAAAAAAAAAAAACCTAGATCTACTCTCGATATCTGTGATTCCCCACAATTCACACTTACACTCACCCAATTGACTATAAACATAGAAATACGTAATAAAATCATTACCTAGTTCGTAAATCGTAAACTAGTCGTAAGTTTGCCTGAGATACTCCAGTATAGGAGCTTCAATAGAAACTATGTATCATACCAAGACAAAACCATTCACATTGCTAATTTATGAACTGTAATGCAGTTACCTAGCCTTAATGTCAACATGTTCCATAATCTGTACCAATATAGAGTTTGAATTAATCTTAGTCTGCCCAAAATGCCTAGTCATGCTAGGTGTGATAGTGGCCCTCTTTGTAATTAGTATTTTATAATATGTAAACCACACAATGTCCTGTAATACGTAAGCCCTGCATTGTAATTTTTATAGAGAATAAACTTGATTGATTGATTGATTAATCACAGAAGAAGGCACTGGTCGCTGATGAGGACTTCCCGTACATCCTGGCAAGATCGATCACACGTACACCACTTTCGTACTTTGCTACAAGTTTTTTTTTTGACTTCTATCATGTTTCTCGCCTTCTTTATCAAAGGGCTGGCACTCGGAACTTTCTTTGGCCCCATGGTGGCTTATTTAGCAGTCACACTCGATAAACAAGCACAAAAAACAATGGATTATTACGAAATGTTTTGGATGAACGTGCAGGGTTATGCTCAATCGATGAGAAACGAAGCCAGACTGACTCAGAACGCGTTGGATGCTCTGCGTGGGTGCAGGAAGGCGGACACGTTCGGTACGGCGGACCGATGAAAACCGAGGTGATGAACGAAAACTGGGACAAAATTTTAACGAAAAAAGTCATCAAAAACCGAATTCGACAAAAACCAGAGCAAACAAAAACTAAGGTTCCACTGTATTCAGTTTTCCATATAGATAAGGGATATTCAGATGATAATACTATTAGCTAAATGACTATAGGAAAGCCAACCTAGCTTATTTCTACAGTAAGTTTATTTAGGTTTGCACAAATACAGTTACAGGTCTCCTTCACAGTCGTGAGGGTTAGGGGATCAAGATTGTTGAAAAATCGCGAATGTTTGGTGCCCCAATATATTGTAGGAAAATATAATACAGTGCTGCTTCCTTAACCTACTAAACCATGAACAATCATAAAACACATGAAAACATTGTAAAATATTGTACTAGTGCCAGCCCTTTGGTAAAGAAGGTGAGAAAAACTATAGAATTCAAGAAAGAACTCATAGCAGAGTACTAAAGTGGAGGAGGAAGAGAGAGGGGAGAATGTGCCTCCTTCAGTGATTCTACGATATGTACAATACTAAAGTAGCATAAGTCAATAAAGGCTATAGCACCAGCCAGCGATAAGTGCAGCATTAACAGTGTAGAAAGTAAGTTAAGCGATTAATCAATAGAAAAAGGACTGCACGGACCTAACTCCTCTAATGTTGTTGGAGTTATACAGGGCGACTGACAACACCGCCATCTCTAGTCTCTACTGCCTCTGATGCCGCCTCCACCACCATTGGCCCTTATACACCCAACAATAACAACAACACAGCAACACTCGTGACATACTTAATGACGTATACATACCTTATTCATTCTAGAGTATATGTCATGTTTTTATGTTCTTAATAGTGTTTATTGTGTCAGTGATAGCCATAGAGTTGATATTAGTGTCATATTGAAGGACTATCTTGTCCTATCTCCAAACAAACTGCCACCCCCACAATTCCTAAGATATGTAATGAGATATTTTAAGTATGATTGGGCAGCTGGGAATTCGCTAATGTTCAAAGTCCGTGAAAGTGGAAAACGTGAATGTTGAGGGAGACCTGTACATAGATTGTCATACATAGCAGTTACATAGTATACATAGTAATTATCCCAACTCAATCATATACATCTACAATCCGACTTACGACCTGCTCGACATACGACCACTCAACTTACGACCATGTTTTGTATGCCAAATTTCTGGGAAATAAACAACTGTTTGTGTTGTACACAGTGTTTATCTTGAACCTTACAGTATAAAATACAGTACTAACAGCATAAAAAGTAAAGTAAAAAATGAAATACCAAAATAAGACGATAAAATAAAATACAGTGGACCCCTGGTTATCGGCCGGTTCTGTTTTCGGCCAACTCGGTTATCGCCCAGTTTTTCGGCACCCGGTTATCGGCCGTTAATTCGGTGATCGGCTGTTTGGCACATGTCCATCCGCCAGCTTTGTCTCTTGGTGGCTGAGGAAGCTTCTGCTCGTACATCCAAACATTTCACTTGTTTTCCATTGTTTTTAGTGTTTTTTTTTGCAGTGCAACTGTGAAATAAGTAACCATGGCTCCAAAGAAAGTTCCTATGGTAAAGAGAATGAGAAACACCATGGAATTTAAGCATGAAGTGATAGAAAAGTTTGAAGGTGGTGGAACTTGCCAGGATGTACAGCAAGAATAAATCAACAATTACATCCATCCTGGCAAAGAAAGAACAAATCAAAGACACTAATGTTGCAAAAGGAGTAACTTTTCTACCTAAACAAAGGCCACCAATAATGGAAGAGATGGAAAAGTTATTATTAATGTGGATTAAAGAAAAAGAATTAGTGGGAGACAGTGTTGTGGAGTCTATTATTTGTGAGAAGGCAAGGCAGTTGCATGAGGATCTTGCAAAGAAAATGCCTGGAACAAGTGCTACAGTTTGTGAATCTATGCCCAGCAAAGGATGGTTTGATAGATTTAAGAAGTGTAGTGTCCAAGAGAGGGATTTTGAAGGGTTTCAGGCTGACCCTGACCCTGCCGACCCTGTGGACTCTATTGTGGTACTGGGGAAGTCCCTGGGGTTGGAGGTGAGTGGCGAGGATGTGGAAGAGTTGGTGGAGGACCACAGGGAAGAACTAACCATTGAAGAGCTGCAGGAGCTTCAACTTGAACAGCAACAGATTGCAGCTGAGGAACTTGCTTCAGAGGAGGAGGAAGAGGGAGTGAAGGAGGTGCCTTCTTCAGAGATTAAAGAGGTGTGTGCAGTGTGGGCTAGGGTGCAAGCTTTTGTAGAGAAACACCACCCTGGCAAAGCTGAAACAAGCCATATCTGCAGCATGTTTAGTGACAAAACCCTGTCCCACTTCAGGGAAATCTTAGAGATGCCAGAAACAGAGCACTCTGGACAGTTATTTTGTGAGACAGGGGTCCAGTGACACTCAGGCTGGTCCTAGTGGCATTAAAAGACAAAGAAGGGAAGTAATCCCAGAGAAGGCTTTGCTAAGTTAGATGGTAGGCGTATATATGAAAAGAAGAGCAATATGGTACCCATGTAATCAGGTGAATACCTTATATTTATTGTGGGTAGGACCCTATCCAAATGCTGACAGTGGACTAAAAAATGTAAACTGGGATTCCTACCAAGACAACATAGCATATACAGTGGAACCTCAAATTTCGAACTTAATCCGTTCCAGTAGCTAGTTCTAAATTTGAAAAGTTTGAAAAGTGAAGCAATATTTCCCATAAATAATGGAAATACAATTAATCCGTTCCAGAAACCCAAAAATATTCACACACAAAAAAATACATTTTATCGAGATGAATTATAGTTTTACATACACACAACAAATATAGTGTACAATTATGTATTAATAAATTTAAATGAACATATAAAGTAACATTTTTACTTACCTTTATTGAAGATTGGTGATGGCATCTGGAAGATAGGGAGAAGGAGAGGGGGAGTTGGGGTTAGTGTTTGGAAGGGGAACCCCCCTACATAAGGACTTTAGGTATCAAAGCCCTCTCTGGGGTTACTTCCCTTCTCTGTCTTTCAAGGCCACTAGGACCAGCTTGAGTGTCACTGGACCCCTGTCTCACAAAATAACTGTCTACAGTCCTCTGTTTCTGGTGCCTCTTTAAGATTTCCCTAAAATGGGACATGGTTTTGTCACTGAACTTGTTACAAAGATGGCTTGTTTCAGTTTGCTCAGGGTGGTAATTCTCCACAAACATTTGGACATCATTCCACTTGGTGCAAATCTCCTTAATCTTTGAAGAAGGTGGACAGGTCCGGTACCCGGAGGTTCGAAAATAGGGGCTAGTTCGATAATAGGGACAAAGTTGGTTCGAAAAAAGCGGTCAATTTTCGAAGAGTTCGATAAGCGATACGTTTGAAATTTGAGGTTCCACTGTAGTATGTATATAATGTGTACCCCAACTTATGCCTGTATATAACTGTTTCTAATACCTGAGAATTAATTTAATTAGTATTTTCCTAAATGCATTTTTTTTCAAGAGCTTTGTTTAAAATTTATATGTGGAATAAATTTTGTATACAGCCTCTCCTCACTTAACCCTTTCAGGGTCCGTCCCGTAGATCTACGGCTTTACGTTCAGGGTCCAAACCGTAGATCTACGCCATGAGCTCAGCTCACTCTGATAAACTGTGAGTGGTACATTTGGGCCTAGATATGAGAGAATACATCTATGTGGTATGTGTGCACCACATAAAACAGATCCTGCAGCACACTGTGTATAATGAGAGAAAAAAAATGAAATCATGATTTTTCGATTAAAACAGCAACTTTGCAGTGTTTTTTCGTATGTTTTTTATAGTTGTATTTGCGATTTCTTGGTCTCATTTGATAGAATGGAAGACATATTACAGAAATAGAGATGATTTTGATTGGTTTTAGCATTGGAAATGGCTTGAAACTGAGCTCAAAGTAGCGGAAATGTTAAATTTTTGCCGATTTCAAGAGTAAACAAACGACCTCACACATCTAATACACGTCAGCTGGTGGGTCTAATATACATTCACAAATATGGTGATGATATTTATACAATTATTACAGTATTGCATAACAGTAAATCTTCTATTTTTTGGTGTGAATAAAAATTCATTATGTAAATAAAAAATCAAAATGGAAATTTATTTGTAAAGCCTCAAAACATAACTAATGAACAGAGGAAATGTTAGTTTAGTGCCAGGAATGCTTACATTGTTCATTCTGGACCCTATTTTGAAATTGGAATATTTTGAACTTTGTGTTAAATTGGCCAAATTAACAATTTCCGATCACTTATTTGTTAGTGAAGCAGTGGACTTGGCGAGTTCTTGTGACTCAAATCGATAGTATAGAAGTCATACTAGTGAAATACTTAAGAAATATGGTTGAATGGATAATGTAATTGGACCAAAATGGGTAGTCAAAGTCGGCAAAATCTGACCATTCGTAAATATCGCTGACATCAAATTCGCGAGAGCATAATTTCGTCAATTTTCCACCAAATTTCGTACTTTTTGTTTTATTACCTTCACAAAAAGATTCTCTACGATTTCATAAGAAAAAATAACAAATTTTTTTTTTTAAATTCTTGGACACTGGTGCGTGACTCCAGATTTGGGCCTTGGACCCTGAAAGGGTTAATGATGAGGTTCCGTTCCTGAGACCACGTCATTAAACGAATTCGTCGCTAAGTGAGGAGCATACTATAATGGTAATGAGTTTGTGTCAACCATCTTAGATATTGTTTTAATGTCACCTTTGCACCTTTTATAACATTTCTGGTATATTTTTAAATGTTTATACAGTAGTGTACTGTATATTGAAATAAAGAGAATAGAGGAAATCAGCTCTAATATACATTATTTAGTTATGAATACTGGTCAGAGAGCCTGTCGTAAGTCTGAGGTGTCGGTATACGAATACGTTGCTAAGTGAGGAGAGGCTTTACTATTTCAATACTGTAATGTGTTTTAGGGCAATTACTCATAGTACTCCTATGGGATTTTATTATTTTGCAGATGTCTCCTTGCCCTTCCCCAAAATCCTGTGATACTTTTGTAGTCCTGACTGACCTCACCAAAGGTGGTCATGTTGTTTTTGGAAAGAATTCTGATAGACCTAGTGAAGAGGTACAGGAGGTTATCTACCAGCCACCACTGGAACATGAAGAAGGCTCAAAGCTTCAGGCAAGTTTATTTTAAAGGTTTATTTGTTTAAGAAAGAATGTGGTACCAGGTTTTGCAGTACAGAATGTTCACATAATCCTTTTTAGTTTTTTTTTTTTTTTTTTGAAATGGTAATGCATAAAATGCAGTTTTCTGCATATGTTAGTGGAACTAATAGTATTTTACGACTTTATAGTTGTCTAATCTATGTAGCTTCAGTATGTGCACACTTCTGGTGGCCCTAATACATCCAATTGATACAACAGCTCATTCCAAGTATAGTTCCAGAAGGCTGTTCGAGTGCCGTTACTGAACAAATTTGCTCCCATGAGGAATAATGTAAATTGGATTAGTCCGTTTCAGACCTCCAAAAATACACTTACAAAAGCACTTACAATAATACATTTATGAAAAAATTAAATGATAGATTATTACAAATGGGTTCAGTTGGCCAAAAACTGTAATGGTTTTAAAATAGTTTTAGAGACGAGTTATGTAAGCTAAATCTTTTCTGTGCTTTAATAGTTGTATACATGTCAAACCATAACATGGGCGGGGATAGAACCCGCGATCAGAGAGTCTCAAAACTCCAGACCGTCGTGTTAGTCACTGGACCAGCTAGCCACTAATGCGACGGTCTGGAGTTTTGAGACTACTCTCTGATTGTGGGTTCTATCCCCACCTGTGGTATGGTTTGTTTGCAATCATGTCATTATGATTTCATGAGTCTTGTATACATGTTCTATACATACGGGATGAGTGCATATGTTATGTGAAGTGATGAATTGGCTTCTTTAGCTCACAAAATATTAATGTGGTAGTGGTGTGGAAGAGGTTACTGTTCTTCATTAATCTCTCTCTGCATGGGAAGGATAATACTGATAATAGAGTAGCATGTCAGAAGTGAGAGTACATTTAGTAATAGTAATTTTTCTCTTTGCAGTGCACATATATAGAAATAGATCAGGTAGGACATACTCATGCAGTGATACTTAGTAAGCCGTCATGGATGTGGGGAGCAGAGATGGGTGCTAATGAACATGGTGTCTGTGTTGGGAATGAGGCTGTATGGACCAACCTTCAGAGTGATGATGATAGCATAGAGCGACTTCTGGGAATGGACTTAGTGAGGTAAGGTCAATAGCAATTCGTTGGTTGGTCATCTTTAGGTAGTATTCCATGGAATACAGTTGAGCACAGGATATAACACAGAGGAGAGGTTTATTGGTATGGTTTCTAGCTTTTTTGGATATTCTTTTGGATAATTTAACTGTCAAATATTCAAATATTATTAAACTTTATGATGAGGCTGTTTATGTGCAGCATACCTTTTAATACTGTTTCCCTATGTGATCAGTTTTATCTTGGGTATGAAGTTTTGTATAGATTTATAAATACAGGTTCTGTATTATTGTTTCTGATTGTATCTTTTTTTTTATATCTTCTTACAACTATGCAGTAAATTTTTACTCATTCTAATTAAACCATTTTGTGATTCTAGGTTCCCCATTACCCTTTCAAGAGGTTCCATAGAGTAAATATTCCTAATGTTTAGAACTGTGGGATTATTTATAGATATCTACAAGACTTTGGTAATTGTATGAGACAAGGTGTGTGCAAAGTGTTTTAGACATAACTGTGGTGTGTTTTTGTTTTTGAATATATATTTTTAACATGACAACTCTATTTCTTATTATGGTAGCGGAGACTCAAAGATGGAAAGTGTGTTCACCATCACTTTTTCAGTCAGTGACTTTTCAGAAGTGCATGGCCATTACTGTTTGAATGATCTACTGTGATATATTTTTCAAAGTAGTTTTGGGGTAAATTTGAATGTGGGGAGGGGGGGAGGAAATGCACCAGTTAAATACCTTAATGCAAGAATATTATTAATTTATAAAAAATCAAAGCCTATAATCAGCATTATAATCTGTGTGTAGGGTTACCAGTAGGACCTAATTGCAAATTAAGGTCAACGTGATAACATGTATTTTTTTTTATTTTTTTTTCAACAAGTCGGCCGTCTCCCACCGAGGCATGGTGACCAAAAAAGAAAATACTTTCATCATCATTCAACACTTTCACCTCACTCACACATAATCACTGTTTTTGCAGAGGTGCTCAGAACACAACAGTTTAGAAGCATATATGTATAAAGATACACAACATATCCCTCCAAACTGCTAATATCCCAAACCCCTCCTTTAAAGTGCAGGCACTCTACTTCCCATTTCCAGGACTCAAGTCCAGCTTTATAAAAATAATCAGTTTCCCTGAATCCCTACACTAAATATTACCCTGCTCACACTCCAACAGATCGTCAGGTCCCAAATACCATTTGTCTCCATTCACTCCTATCGAACACGCTCATGCACGCCTGCTGGAAGTCCAAGCCCCTCGCCCACAAAACCTCCCTTACCCCTTCCTTCCAACCTTTTCGAGGACGACCCCTACCCCGCCTTCCTTCTCCTACAGATTTAAATGCTCTCCATGTCATTCTACTTTGATCTATTCTCTCTAAATGACCAAACCACCTCAACAACCCTCTTCAGCCCTCTGACTAATACTTTTGTTAACTCCACACCTTCTCCTAATTTCCACTCTCCGAATATTCTGCATAATATTTACACCACACATTGCCCTTAGACAGGACATCTCCACTGCCTCCAACCGCCTCCTCGCTGCTGCATTCACAACCCAAGCTTCACACCCATATGAGAGTGTTGGTACTAGTATACTTTCATACATTCCCTTCTTTGCCTCCATAGATAACGTTTTTTGACTCCACATATACCTCAACGCACCACTCACCTGTTTTCCCTCATCAATTCTATGATTAACCTCATCCTTCATAAATCCATCCGCCGACACGTCAACTCCCAAGTATCTGAAAACATTCACTTCTTCCATACTCCTCCTCCCCAATTTGATATCCAATTTTTCTTTATCTAAATCATTTGATACCCTCATCACCTTACTCTTTTCTATGTTCACTTTCAACTTTCTACCTTTATTAAGTGCAATAATCATAGTTAATTTTACTGTAGATTTCTTATTCAAGAGTATTTCAGATGAAAGGAATGAGCTTTAATCCATAGGACATGCTAGAATGAATTACTTTCTAGCATAACTAATTGATTTCTGAAATTTATCTTGTATTAAAAATGCTGGATATCTCTTCATGAGAGTGGTAGAAATATAGGAAAGGCAAGATTAAGAGGTTAGAATGGAAGAAAGGAGTAAGGAGGAAGTGGATGTGTATACTATACTGTATTTTTGTATTTGAGTGTGTCAACAGATGGGTTTGTGAAAGATGGAGCAAATCACAGATATAATAAGGGAAAGGAATTAGGAGTGCTGAGGAATCACAGAATGAAAGCTGGTAATGGATGTAAAAATAGGAATATATCAAGTATAATTATGCTAATTTTTTTTTTTTTGCATTTGGTGTTTGCCATGGTTTTTGAAAATTGAAACAAGGATGTTGGAGGTATTTGAAATTCCACATCTGAGATGTGTGGTGTAAATATTATGAGAATATGGTATGGGAGGTATAATTAAGGAGTGTAATTATATTTGTTAATGCTGACAGTAGTTAGGTAATTGGACATGTATGCAACTTTGAGACATTGAGGCAAAATATGTATATACAGTAGGACCCCTGTATCCATAGTTCCAGTATCCTCTATTGCAGTTATTTGCGGTTTACCATGGCCCTAAAATAACTCTTAATTTTGCTTAATAATGTCCCTGAAGTGCAAAAGTAGTGATCCAACCTCTTCATAGCCTAAAAGAAGCCATGAAATGCTTCCCATCAGTGAAAAAGTGATAATACTCCACTTATTGTGCATAATTTATCAGTTAAACTTTATAATGGGTATGTATAGGACTTATATATAGTTCACTACTATCCGCAGTTTTGGTATCTGTGGTAGGGCCTTGGAATGTATCCCCCACAGATACAGGGGTTCTACTGTACAATAAAATCCCCTTGATGTAACAAACTAATGGGGAATCATCCAAGTATCCATTAAATCAGAATAATCTTAAAAAATAGCAAAAACAGAACTTAAATACTCTACACCTAACATAGTACTGTAACCTCATAGGTGTCCAGTTATGTAACTAAAGGAATTTATAATGGTTTTATGTAGAGAGGTTGGGGAAACATTAAGAGGGTGTATAAGATTAAGTTAAATAAAACTAGGTTTAGAGGATATCCAAATAAAGGTTGGAAGGAGATTTTGATAGGTATTGGTATGAATGCCTAGAAGGCACATGCTAATGTGTTGGATCAGATTGTGAAGGTGACTAAATTTTGGGATTTAATGCACCTTCAGGGCATGACCATAGTTACATAGTATTTATGAAGAGGTTCAGGAGAGCCAGTATTTTTTTTTTTTTTATTATCACACTGGCCGATTCCCACCAAGGCAGGGTGGCCCGAAAAAGAAAAACTTTCACCATCATTCACTCCATCACTGTCTTGCCAGAAGGGTGCTTTACACTACAGTTTTTAAACTGCAACATTAACACCCCTCCTTCAGAGTGCAGTACAGTGCCAGTACAGTGCTAAATTATGAAGTACAGTGCCTAAATTATAAGAGTCAGGTTTTGATGTGGAAAAGATCCAAAATTATGAAAGTCAGGTTAGGACATTGGAGTGTGGTGGGTCATCATTGGCTTGTGATGACAGCTATTCTAGAAAGGGAACAGAGAGTGAGCAATGGTGAGTGTGTTATTTGGACTCCATAGCCTTTGTGGGGAAATGCTGATGTGTTAAAACTAAGAAGCATTGCAGTGCTCTCATTTTTTTTATTTTTTCATAATTTAATATTAAAATATAATTTATTACTGTATGTCATTGATTATAGATTGGCTTTGGAGCGCAGCAGTACAGCACAGATGGCAGTGGATGTCATTACTACACTTCTTGAGACGTACAGTCAGGGTGGTCCATGCTCGGATGTGGAACCTAGCTTAGTTTATCACAACAGTTTTCTTATTGCTGACCATCAGGAAGCTTGGATCTTAGAAACTGCTGGCAATCATTGGGCTGCTGAACAAATAAAAAGTAAGTTTTCATATTAAAACTGGAAAGGATAAAAATCTTGTTTGGCCAAAATAATTGTGCTGAAATATGTCATAGTCTGTCAAATTTGGTTGGGTTTTGTAACTTCTAGCAAATCTTTTTAATTCTTGCAGGTGGTTATAGGAACATTAGCAATGCTTTGAGTATTGGTACCAAAATAGACAAGATGAGTGAAGGCATGAAGGAACTTGCACAAGAGAAAGGTTGGTGGGATGGTAATGGGGATTTTAACTTCTCCGAGGCATTTTCATCCGGTGGAGATTCTTCAGGAGGAAGGAAAGAGAGTGGCGAGCAGCTCTTGGCCAAGCTTACTGAAGGAGGTTAGAAATGTTTTTTTTTTCATTGAGTGTATGAAAGTAATCATATTGGTTACTTGCCATTTTGATAGCTATTGCCATTTTTGCTATCATGCCATTAAATTTTTTGAAATAATTGACTGGAATCATCTCATTAACATTACTTGGGAAGACTAAATAATAGCTTGATTTAGATAATGTAACTATGACAATGTGAAAATTATATACATATAGCAAACTGGCCCAACTAGACTACACAATATTGACACGAGGTAAAATATTGTAGATTTTGTTGAGCATAGTTAAGTTCATACAATTTTTTAAAGACTGCAGTAAAATAGTTTTTGTTGTCCACTCTTCATTTTAGAAATCTTTCAAGCTCTGTGTCCTAAATACAAGTGAAAATTTATGAAAAATGTTATTTTCTTTTCGTACAGCATGTTCTCTGATTTGTTTTAGAATTGAAAGTTATTCCAAGATTGTAATTTGCATGTGTATTGTGTATAATTGTATATTGGGTTGGTATTCTTTTGTCTTGCTAGTTTATTGTGGGCTGTGTGCCAGCTTGATTAGTGCTTAGTAAGTTACAGTATTATAGTCTTTGCTATTATCCCTAAGTGTTACTTATGATAAACTAGCTGTGACATCTGTATTGTTTATTTTAGTTACGTATATTAGGTAACTTGTTATCTTACGTTTATTCTAATCACTTCTGGCTGGTGGTACATACCACAGTATAGCTAGATGGTGTCCAATAATATTACGAAGATATACTAGCTATTATGTTAAACCTGAAGTGCAAATTTTTCCCTTACTAGCTGCAACTTGCACATGTGTAAAATAGTAGTTTAAGTGTAATCTTTTAACGGTAAAATCCACCCAGTTAAATATAAAATTTCTTAAATCCTTGTAGAAAACCCTCAAGTCACATTATGCTACACCCCACAAGACTTGGTAGGCCATTTACTTATTATCTTAGACAGTGGATAGTTTTAATCGGAGCTGGAACTGTCAGAAATTTTTAATATTTTCTAGAGAGAGAGAGAGAAGAGGAATTTTAATTTTTATATAGTTTACTCTATGGTATTGTTTACTTGAGTGAAACGAATCCAGTAATGGAAATGTGATAAAATCCAGAAGTAAAGGATATGAATGGTAACTACATCAAAGAGGTGGAATATCTGTACATATAACATAAATTTGGGGAAGCATATAAATTACTGGGACCATCTAAAGTCCCTCGACCTGTTCTCTTTGGAACTCGGGCAAGAAAAATACCTAATATATACCAGGAAAACCCTAGAGGAACTGGCCTCCGAAGCTATAAAAGCAAGAGGTTTGACAGATGGTGCAAATTGCCTCAGTGAAAAGTAGGGGTGCCATGAGTACACTAAGAGAGAACTTGTTGAAGTGTGAAGAGACAAAGACTTTTCAATACTCTTTTTTCATACATAAGGGGAATTACCAACATACCCCTGGCAGTCTTCAAGAGAAATGGATAAGTTCCTCAAGTCAGTTCCTGATTAGCTGGGTTGTGGTGCATATATTGGACTGTTTGTGGCTAGCATCACCAGCCTGGTTGATTAGCCCATCAACTGGGATGCCTTGTCTGGAACTTGGCCTTGGAGGTATTTATCTCTGGAACACACACCAGGTAGGTAGATGCTCTCAGCCAATTCTTTAGTATGCTAGCTTCTTTCATGCATATATTGAGCAAACACACACACCAGTCCAAAAATATATCCCTACTTATTTTTAACATCTTTCATTATCCCATCTATTCCAGCTGCTTTACCCCGTTTCATTTCCTACATGCACCTCAGTTCCTCACTCTTAATGGTTCAATTCCTCCTTGCCTCGTGCATGAAATCACTGCCTTTCCCTTCATCACTAATATTCAACTGCCATCTTCTCTGGTACTTCCACCACCCATATTACATCTCTCCTCTTTTTTTTTTTTTAACTGTTAAATCCATTTTCTTTCCAGGTTTCCTCATCTTACTGATTCAAAACAACTTCTCATTCTGAATAAAATCTGCTAAAAATTAAGGACTTGCCCATTCTCATTGGCTCTTTTTACACCTCATTGCTTTTTTTACCCCCCTTTTTCCTCTCCATATACTGTCTTATATGGGTGTGAAGCATGGGTGATGAATGTTGCAGCGAGGAGAAGGCTGGAGGCAGTGGAGATGTCATGTCTGAGGGCAATGTGTGGTGTGAATATAATGCAGAGAATTCGTAGTTTGGAAGTTAGGAGGAGGTGCGGGATTACCAAAACTGTTGTCCAGAGGGCTGAGGAAGGGTTGTTGAGGTGGTTCGGACATGTAGAGAGAATGGAGCGAAACAGAATGACTTCAAGAGTGTATCAGTCTGTAGTGGAAGGAAGGCGGGGTAGGGGTCGGCCTAGGAAAAGTTGGAGGGAGGGGGTAAAAGGAGGTTTTGTGTGCAAAGGGCTTGGACTTCCAGCAGGCATGCGTGAGGTGTTTGATAGGATTTGAATGGAGACAAATGGTTTTTAATACTTGATGTGCTGTTGGAGTGTGAGCAAAGTAACATTTATGAAGGGGCTCAGGGAAACAGGCAGGCTGGACTTGAGTCCTGGAGATGGGAAGTACAGTGCCTGCACTCTGAAGGAGGGGTGTTAATGTTGCATTTTAAAAACTGTAGTGTAAAGCACCCTTCTGGCAAGACAGTGATGGAGTGAATGATGGTGAAAGTTTTTCTTTTTCGGGCCACCCTGCCCTGGTGGGAATCGGCCAGTGTGATAATAATAAAAATAAAAATACTGTCTTCCATCATTTTACACTGCCAAGATCTTTCATATGTTTATTTCTCCTTTACCACCTTTATACCTCATCATTTCACCAGTCATTCCTCTTCCCACCCACACCTACCCTCTTGTACCCACAAACTTCCATTGCAAACTCTAGGAATGCACTATTAAACTTCCTCCCATATCTCCTAGACTTCCTCATTATATCCTTCACTCTCTCCAGCTTACCTTTTCCTCAACAGTTACTTACTTCTTTCTGACACTGTCTTCTTTTGCTTTCACTTGCCTTTGACCCTCTTCTGCAAGTCTATATGTACTCCTTATTTGTATGTATAGGAAATGTATGGGCTGTGAGAGAGAGAGAGGATAAGTGTTCCCAGATGTTGAAGGGTAGCATTTTAATTTCCTTTATTTAGGGAAACCGGTTATTTTTATATAGCCGGACTTGTGTCCTGGAAATGGAAAGTACAATGCCTGCACTTTAAAGGAGGGGTTTGCGATATTGGCAGTTTGGAGGGATATGTTGTGTATCTTTATATGTACAGTGGAACCTCTACTTGCGAGCGCATCCACATGCGAGTTTTTGCAATTACGTGCAGTCGATGGGTTGATTTTTTGCTTCCATACGCGAACAAAATTTCCATAAGCGAGCAGACCTCAAGGGAAGTTCCTTGACACTAATGAGGGGCTCTCGCTCTTGATCTCGGGATTTGTATCTCATTTGTTTGTTGGACTATCTTATTGAAACTTGGGCAGTGTATGATGGAAAGATGCTTCTTAAAGTACACCAAAAATGAAAGAAATCGGAGCATAAATAATGGAGTTCATTTCTCAGCAATTAGCCACCCCTTAGTGGTATTTTCGTATGGTTTTTTATGGTTATATTCCTGTTTTTTGGTCTCATTTGATAGAATGGAAGATATATTACAGAAATAGATATGATTTTGATTACTTTCACGACGAAAAGTACCTTGAAATTGAGCTCGATGAGGGAGAAATGCTCGTTTGCTTGACTATGTTCAAGAGTAAACTGTCCATTCCAATATGTAGTCATGAATGGGTTGACATTATTTATACAATTATTGCAATGAGGCATAACAGTAAATCTTATATTTTTTGTGAATAAAAATAATAAATTATTTATATTGTAATAATAATAATATGTATAATAATAATAATACGTATAATAATAATAGAAAAAATAATACTGTATAATACAAGAATTAATAATAGAAAATAAAAAATAATATATAATAAAAATGCTACAAATTTAATTATAATAACGGCTTCAAAAGGCGGTCACTAGATGGCGTGTTTACCACAACAAAGAGGGACGTTGTGGCCCCCTCCCCTTTACTAAGACATATTTTTTTCATTCTAGAGTAAATTAGGTTTCTTTGTTATTTATATTGCTTATTTTTTCTATTAGATGAACTGTGATAGATAAAAAAGCCGTAAAGTTGAAGCGAAATATTCAAAGAGATTTGTCTTTCTCCAGACAAACTCTCGTTTGCTGCCACACATATAATGATGTTTTTATTCTTTCTAGGTTATATCAGGTTCTTTTTATTTATTTTGTTTGTTATTAAATTTTAAAATGAATGTGATAGATAAATAACCTGAGTTGAATAGCAAAATTTTTCAAGGGATTTTGTCCTTCCCAAACACTTGTCGGCCGCGCCCAATAAAAATGACATATTTTTTCATTCTGAGATACTCTGTTTGATAAAAAAGGGCCGTATGATGATTTTAGCAAAATTTATTCAAGAATTTTTTTTTCTGGTCTCCAGACAAACTGTCGTCCACCCCCGAAAACCCCCATGCCATACATGAATTCATATTTTTTTTCATTTTAGAGTATATATCAGGTTTCTATTTTATTTTATATTTTTTATATGCATTTTAGATCAAGTGAATAGATAAAAACCCCGAAAAGTTGTATTAGCAAAATTATTGAAGTGCGAATTCCACCGGAATGGATTAATTGCTTTTATTTAATTTAAATGAGAAAAATTGACCTGCAAACAAGCAAATCCAGTTGCGAGAAAGGGTCATGGAAAACGATCAAACTTGCAAGGAGGTTCCACTGTATTGCCTAAACTGTTGTTTCAGAGCACCTCTCCAAAAACATGATTATGTGGGTGAGGTAAAGTGTTAAATGTGATAAAGTATTTTTTTTGGGGGTATTTTTCTTCTTTTTGGGTCCCCTGCCTCGGGGGGAGATGGCCGACTTGTTAAAAAAAAAAAAAAC